ATTTTTAACTAGTTGCAACTATTTATGAATTTTTATATTAAAATAAATTTTACAAGAAGTTGCAACCAGTTGCAACCTAAGTTGCAACTTACCGAGTTGCAACTTCTTAATTACAATACCATCTTTAGTATTTACTCTACAAATGCTAGTGAGCATCAGATTAATCTTACAAAATTTGCTGTTAAAGAAAATCCTGAATTACTTTGAAGTAATATAAAAAGATAATTAGCATCATTGTTGGGATCATATTAGTGTTGATAGTTCCCTAGCTAGCAAAAAAGCTAGGATTAAAAAATTTATTAAAAAATAATATGTATTATGAACGCAATTTCGAATTTTTGTATTTATTTTTACACGTATTAATAAAAATTTATGCAATATATACAATTATTCAAAAGCAAATCATGTGATTGGTTTTCCTAATAGCCCATTGCCAAAAAAATTTTTTTGCATGTTAAAATTAATAAGATGAGTCTTTTTATTTGCTACATAATATTGAATAATTCTTATTTTGTATAAACAAAATATTATGCAACCTGAGATTAATTTATCAGAGCAAGAAAGAGTGCTTTTGATTAAGAAAGCTAAGCTCAAAGCTAAGAATGCTGAGCTTGAGATCAAGAACCTCAAGTATGTCAGACTTAAGACTAAAATTGCAGATCTTGAGGCTAAGAACATCAAGTATATCAGACTTAAGGCTAAGATTACTGAACTTGAAGCTGAGAATACCAAACTTGAGATCAAGTATGCTGAGTATGTCAGATTTAAGGCTAAAAATGTCAAGCTTGAAACTGAGAATGCTGAATTATTAAAGTCACTCATAGAAGAATATACAAAGAAATTAGAAACAAAGAAAAATTGCAAATTCCAGACAAAATGTATTCAGATAGCTAAGAAAATTCTTAATGAGAAGCCAATAATCAAATATCACTCTTCTTTCTTGAATGGATTAGAGCTTAATGCCTTCTTTCAAAAATATCAAATTACAGTGAAGATGCAAGACGCCCAGCATTGGCTTTATAGCACTAGCTGATATAAGAATGTCAAAAAACTTGAGGATATTGTTAATCGTGATTGGCAAAAAAGATGTATATGCCAAGATAATGGAATCTTCTTTATTGAGGTATGGTATGACCAAAACCTAGAAATTGTTATTTCAGAAAAGATACAAAAAATTAAGGAGTTTGTTTGTCTAGCATCTAAAAGTTTTGATATCCTATAATCAATAGACTTATAATATATGTATAGTAATTCTACATTTAATTAGCAGATAAATATATTGTGTATCACAGTAAAGGTCCTGAATATGAGCAATGCAAAATGAATTAAAAAAGTATGTTTTCTTATCGATTATACCCTATTAGTACAAATATAAAAACTTATCATGTATAGGCAATATAGCAGGTTAATCTGTTTGTTTTAGCAAACTTCTTGCATTTATATTTATTTTTTTATCACTCGCATGTATTAATAAAAATTCTTTACGCTTATCACCTGATATGTAAAAAGTAGTAATATCAGAGACTATGACATTTAGGGTTGGTAAAAGTCCTAATTAGTCCTAATTAGTCCTGATTAATTTTAAAAAAATTATTAATTTTAAAAATTATTTTTTTTAAATATTATTATTATATTCAATTTTTAAATTAAAGTTACTTATTACTAGGAAACGGAAACATTTGTGAGTCTGAAGTGAAATATTTATTTTACTAATTATTTTTATTGTGATATTCCCTATAAGAAATTTATATACAGAATTATATATGGTAATAATACGTTTTAATATTCGTAAAAAATGTATAAAAAATACTGAAATTATGTATATGTATGTAATTATTATATATACAAAATAAGGAAATTGTCAAAATTACGAATATATAAAATTCGTAAATTATGTATATTGTATAAGCTATTTCAGTACA